GGGTGTTATGCACAAACAATGAATCATGGAACCCTACATCAAAAACTAATGATGTAATGTATGGTGATTAACATAACAATAAAAAAATTAAAAAAAATAATATTAAGGGGCGCCTGGGTGTCTCAGTGGGTTAAGTTAAAGAAATCTCAACTGTATTCATATTCTAACTCATTGAGTACATATTTCTTCCTTCTTTTCTTACTTTTTGATGTTTTATTTATTTATTTATTATTATTATTATTAATAATGTTAGCCAACATATAGTACATCATTAGTTTTTGATGTAATGTTCAACGATTCATTAGTTGCATATAACACCCAGTGCTTATTACAACACGTGCCCTCCTTAATACCCATCACCCAGTTACCCCATCTCCCCACCCCCCTCCCTTCCGCAACCCTCAGTTTGTTTCCTGGAGTCCAGAGTCTCTCATGGTTTATCTCCCTCTCTGATTTCTTCCCATTTACTTTTCCCTCTCTCTTCCCCTATGGTGCTCTGCGCTATTCCTCATATTCCACATATGAGTGAAACCATATGATAATTGTCTTTCTCTGCTTGACTTATTTCACTTAGCATAATCCCCTCCAGTTCTGTCCATGTCGATGCAAATGGTAGGTATCCATCCTTTCTGATGGCTGAGTAATATTCTATTACATATATGAACCACACCTTCTTTACCCATTCATCTGTTGAAGGACATCTCAGCTCCTTCCATAGTTTGGCTATTGTGAACATTGCTGCTATGAACTATTTTTTTATTTTTTCAAGATTTATTTGTTTATTTGAGAGAAAGAGCACAAGCAGGGGCAAGGTCAGAGTGAGAGGGAGAGAGAGAATCTCAAGCAGACTCCCCACTGAGCGTGGAGCCCATTGCAGGCTTGATCTCACGACACTGAGATCATGACCTGAGCTGAAATCAAGAGTCAAACACTTAACCGACTGAGACACCCAGGCGCCCCTTAATATTATTTTTAAAGTAATAAATCATAAACACAGTTGCGTTTTCCTACTGATGCCTTCCTTTTGCTATTTCCATGTCATTCACCCCAGGTTACATAGTGATGGTTATCATTCCCATGCAATTTTAGTATTTATAAGCAATATTTAACAATACTGTAAACAATAGCATTAATATAGACATTTAATTTTCAATATAGTGTTTCTGAGATTTTTTTTCCATGCAGCTCTAGTTCTGATAGAGCACAGCAATGCATGAGAGTGATGGTATTTATCCACTCACATACCCACACACATTCAGCTTCCCCTAGTTGTGCTCTACCACCACCGTGTTGCAACTCACAACTGTCTGTGACTTGCATTGTGCATACGGGCATGTGTTTCGTTGGGCTGCAGTACATACCTGAGAGTGGATCTTTCTCTTTTATATCGGAAGGACTTGATGGTTTGAACTCACCTTTCTTTTGACTCTCTTCCTCACTTCCACAACAACCCCTCTCCTGATTTTCTTTACCTTTTCATTGGCTATTCTGCTCAGTCTCCTTGATTGTCTGCTCTGTTGCTTCTGTGTAACCAATTGGGTCTCCTTCAGATTCTGACTTCAATTCTTTGTTATTCTACACACATGGGTGATCTTATCCCAGCTCAGGGTTTCTACTCTCTGTACATGGATGATTCCCAATTTTAGACCCTTATTCCAGAATATCTCCAAATCCCAGACCCTTAAGTGTAATATATACAGAGCATTTCCACTTGGATGCCTCGGATGTACTACTGAATGTGTATATTTAAAACTGTGCTGTCTATATTGCTGTCATTTATTCAATTGTTTAAGCTAGAAACTCCAGGATTTTCCCTGGCATTCCATTCTCCCTCACTTTCTATGTTCTCACTTTTTCTCCCCCCCGCCCCAGGCCCCTCTTCCTTTCGCTGGCTCCTCTCCCTGGCTCCTTCTCTCCCCTCCCTCACCCCCCTCGCCCTGTCTGCCTTCTTCCTGGGCATCCCTCTTTGATTCCTCCCCCTCATACTCTAGTCCTTGCTTCCCTGTCCTACGCCTTTTTCCAACATTAACAACAAACATGCAAATATCGTAAGAGGCTACCACTTTGGGAGTTTTATTCTTGAAATAAACATCTGCATGTTACCATTGACTTTTGTGACTTTGGGCAAAATCCTGAATCCGTTTGCTTCAGTTTGCTTCTTCTTTAAGATGGGGATAAGAATAGCACCTAAGCCACAGTAATTGTGAGGATTCAATCCTGGTATTTGCGAGAAGATTCAGGGCAGTGCCTGGCACATGGCAAACGTTATATGTATCTTCTAGCTGTCATTGTTTTCTACTACTGTCTATTATTATTAGAATGTCTATTATCTGTCTCCATTTTTCAGTACTGGAGATTTTCTTTTCATATGAATTATTAAGTAATGTTTAGGGTGCTTAGTCTTCTGAAAAAAAAAATAAGCAAGATTTTCATGTATTTTCTCAGGTAAAGTTTTAATAATTGAAAGCTTTAAAATTCCCTTTATAAAGTTGAGTTTAATTTTCCAGGACGGAGAAAAGATCTTTGTAGGGGAAAGCCGTTTGTAGAGAAATGTTCTTAACAGCTCTGTCAGCTGGAATTGACCGTAAAATATTTAGGAATTTTGTGGCTTGGTTAAAGTATTGGTAGCTTGAAATTGACAATGATGGGAGGCTTCACACCATGGAAACTGGTAAATGCTACAAATCAGGGCCCATTTACTATCGTATCACTGTATAATTTTGCTAAAGACCAGAATCATTATGAAGTTTCATGCAATGACAAACCATCTTACTGTGAGTTTTAATATATCATGGGGGTAAACTGTGCCTGCAAGATTTACCAATTACTATATAGATTAGAAGTCACTGTACTAATTACCCTGTAACTTGGGTGTTAGCATCATCATTCAACATCCAAGGAGGTCCCTTTGTATATTTTGTACTGGTTACCTTTGCTTGTTTATCTGTGTTTTTAAATGATTAGTAACCAAATGAATTTTTGTAACCATTTTGTAGAATAAAAGTGCTGTTTTCCAGTAAAAAGGAAATACATATTGAAAAGAAAAATTTCCCCCATATTTTAGAATCAGGTTAGTGTAAATTCAGAATTTAGAGTAATTCTTCCCTTTTACCCACAGCATCCCAATGGGAAGATCTTATTAGGCTCTGGATACTTGTTATGATAATGAGTTGTAATTTCTCTATCAAAAAACTATCTTATAAATTGCTCAACTGGTTGCTTGGCTTTTTTTTCACTAACCTAGTGAAAAAAACCACACGTAAGATCTTTTTGAAACTGACTAGTTCGTGGGTTCCACTTCCTGTTGTGAGGAGTAAAATGTATCTTAAACTCACTGAAGTTCTCAAGATTGTTTTCATTCTCATGTAAACCAATGTAGGTTTCAAATTCATATACATCAGGTGAAACTGAAACTCCCTATAATTTGTTATTTCTATAATATGCACTCTGTTTCTGGTTGGGGGAAACAGTTTGAACAGTTAATATAGATTTTGTAATAATTTGTCTTAGGAGAAGTATTGCCAGAGGAGGGTGTACTCACTGACTATAAACTCTTTTGCCCTCCTTAAAAAAAGTCTGAATAAAATCCTTTCTCGGTGTTGGGTGCTCACCCTGTTTGAGGTATCGTCCTTCTGCTTGGAGCTCCCACTCTCGCCCAGCGAGGCAAAGCAGCAAACACCGAGGGCTGGTCTTGGCAAAATTGAGACAAAACCTACAGTTTCATTTGGGCTTTGCTCTGGAGCCAGCCCTAAGGTTGGATGGAGAAGCTGGAGAGCTCCCAGTCCCACCGGAGCTCAGAAGGGGGTGAATAGAGGAGATTCACTGGTTTGCAGTGAGGAAAGATGGTCTGAGCGCTGCCTCCCTTCACAGGTTCTACAGTTGTCCTCTTGAGACTTTCCTTTCTTTTGTTCTTAGAGTTGCTCTTTTTGTATGAACTAGTGTGATTCACCTTGTTCATCTGGGGCCAGAACCCTTTGGGAATGCCTCTGTTTCCACGTCTAAATTTATTCACTCTCTTCTTTGCCTTTAGTCCTGGATCTTACCTAAGTTTTAATTGTCCAAATGATATATGTATTTGGGCTAAAATTTTTGAGTAGGTACTAACCGATTTCCCTGATCTCAGGTAATTGCATAGTAAAAAGACCCCAGGAGACCATTTGAAGAAATGATGGGAATTTCAGACCAAGATGCAGGTGAGGGTGGGAGAGACTTGGGGAAGTGGAGCTGAGACTAGGACCCTGGTGTCATCATATGCCTAAATTTTAGTCACACGTCATGACTGTAATAACTCTATTCTTATCTAAAATTTAAGGCAGTTACCGCCTTTGTTATGTCCGTGTCTCACAAGGATGATTGATTCCTTCAGGGATAAAATTTCTTTCTAACATATGTAAAAAAAAAGTCAGTATGAGATTTCCCAGGAAATATAATTTAAGCCCATTGACTTCATCATCATTGCTGAAGGAAATACAAGTCCTACTTAGCCTAAAAATGTTGAAACTTTTGCTTATTTTAGTATGAAGTATTTGCTTATATCTGTAATAATATAATATTATATGACATATAGTCATATAATGTTTTTTAGTTTTTGGAGCATTTTCACATACAATCTTGTTGAATATCTATGAGACCCATAGGATTGGAATTATTAGAAATATCTTGCTTTTACGAATGAGGAAGTGGGTTCTGAGTGGTAAATCAACTTTTCCCTGCGTAATAACAGCTACTAATTATGACAGCAAGGGAGTTGATTTCAGGCCTCCGGATTTACAAATCCCATCCTATTACCCCTATGTCATATTCCCTCTTCACACATATAGGGCCATATACAATAGCTGTGTTAGATCAATAGATATGTAGACCAGTAGCCAAGTGCCTCTGCAATAACATTTTAAAATGTAGTATGATTGCATGCCAACTTACGAGACCTGCTCTGCAATTATCACAGTGTTTTCAAATTCTCTACATATAAGATTAAGTCTTTTAAATCTGAGTAAATTCAGCTTAGATATTGTGGAGAAAAAGTGAAACTCCTTTAATCTAAAATGTCTCTCTCTATGCACACACACACACACACACACAGGGTCATTTGAAAGCATTTTTTTTTTGTTACCTATTTTTGCTGATAGTCTGATCTGACACAAATTGTTTAAAATGTATTGTGAAAGATGTGTACTTCAGATATGTTATCTTATGTCTGATTTCAATATTTGAAGAGCTAGTATAGGATAGAAGTTGAAATTAATTTATCTTCTGTAAAACACGTGATAAATATTCAGAGATGCTTAAAGACAGAATGCGTAATTTAAATCTGGCTGTAGATAAGAATTTCCTGATAAGGAGGGTTGGTATTTACTTCAATGTCACCAAAAGAGGTTGTGGAATTTCTTTTTCTGGGATATTTAATTCATGTGGTTTAGGTATCACCCTATGCGGGGGCAGGGCAATGGATTTAATAATCTGATGTGAACCTGTAATATTGTGAGATCACAATTATCTTCCCGGTTTATTGAAATAATTGGTGTTATTTAGAAATTGCAGGAGAAGAAGCAGGATCTGGTTTTTTTCTTCTCTCTCTCTCTCTCTCTCTCTCACACACACACACACACACACACATGCATACAATCAAAGGGGAAATATATCATTATTTTTAAGAACTTGGGTGCACATCATCCTGTCCTAACTGATGTGATAGCACGAAAGCTGTCTGTGGTGGAAACAGGAAACATTAGTGATACATGCCGAGTTACGCATCTTTGTATCTTTCTTCAGGTTCAGCCCAATGTATGCAGATTCTAATTAGCACATTTTGTGCCTCAGCGAGTAGCTCCCCTTTAGCTCTGCTTGGAGAGTTTTTTTTTTAGCTTCCATCCTGCTCATAAACACTGCCACCCCCTCCCTCCTTCTCTCTTTACAAATGTTACAACACAATCAGAAATTTCCTCTTTTCTTTCCTTCCTGCATTATCAGCAGGTTCCCTTGCGTCAGAAGCAGAGAAAGAAAACTCAAGGTAATTAGATCTCTTTTGTTTCTTTATCCCCTTTTTGTGTGCGTGAGTGAGGGTTTTCTGTCCGATGCCTTCTTTGGGATCAGATTTTTGTCTGTCTTAATGCTAATAGCAGAAGGTGGATGGCAGATTAAATTTTTGGTTATTTTTGGATCGATTTTAAGAAATGACGGCATGCTGTTCATTTGGATTAATCCCTCGGGGTATGTCAATAAAGCTTAGAAAAGCCGGCACTGAGTCGGGAAGTGGCTGTGTTTCGGTGGGCATTAACCCTTCTCCATCTGTTGCATAAGGACTGCTATTATTTTGGAAGGAGCTGTGTTAGTGCAATGATGTGCCTGTCAGCCTCACGATTTTCATTTATTTCAACTTATTCTTGCTGAATAATATTCTTAGACTAACACTTGCATTCTAGTCTCACTGTTTCTTTGGTCCTATCTTGTACCTCCTAAGCACCAAATGAATGCTTAAAAATAAAATAAAGAAACAAGACTTTTTTTTTTTTTTGCGTTTACTGTGCATAAATCTTGGTAAAAAAAAATCCAACTCCCAAGAGGTAAACAATTAACAGTTACCTTTCACTCTGCCACATACACCAGGGTAATATGTTACCTGCCTCTTCATATAATTGTTGCAGGGTTTTTCACGATGAGTCGGAGGAGGATATCCTGTAAAGACCTGGGACATGCTGACTGCCAAGGGTGGCTGTATAAGAAAAAAGAAAAAGGAACTTTCCTGAGCAACAAATGGAAAAAGTTCTGGGTAGTGCTGAAGGGAACGTCGCTCTACTGGTACAGCAATCAAATGGTGAGTCTACTGTCTTCCTCTCCTTTTCAGCCACTTGGACAAGGGTGGATTAAAGAGCACTGAGGAGCAGGTGGGCCCTATGGGAAAGTTCATTTTTATTTCTGGGACTTGGAATAGAGCTAATAAACAAATAAGTTCTAGAAACCGTTCCTGATCCAAGAGATATGTAGGTTATTCTACCTTATTTTATGCAAGAGAAAAATCATCCTGCTTGACTCATCTTTGGTTGGAGAGGGGTGTCCAGATTTATATGCTGGCTGAAGGAGGGTTTCCGTGTCTATTCATGTTACTATTTCATGACAAATTGTACTCATTTCAGGATTTACATGGACAGGACTTTATCTGGAAACTTTGTGTTATTAAGATTTCTACGAAAAAAGGGCATCAGCTTTAAGACCTGTTGGGGGTGTAAATTGATTCAGTCCACAGAACGTATTTTCCTTTCTCCTTCTTTACTGTGTTCTCCTCTGCCCTTCTTTATCGGGTGGGTTGGTTTTGGACTCACTAACCTGCACTGTGTTGCCGACTGTTGGCTCTTGCGCCTTGGCATGCTAAGTGATGGCATTAAAGAGGGATGATCAGACAACACTTGAAAAGAAAGTTGCCTGACTTATCTTTAATCAGCAGTACACTTCTGTGGTCTGCTTCACAGGCTAGTTTTCTGTTGGGAAGAGCTGGAAATAAAGTCATTGTTAGAAGGCTTGCTGATCTTTCCTGGCTGGAAACATTTTTAGGACAACGATGTTGTTGAACAATGAATGAATAGAGACTTTTCATATAGTAATTCTTTCTACTAACACCCGGTAGCCAATTGCTGATCTCAGGAGAGCTGGAGTTTCTTTTGGGGTCTAGTGAAGGTCAGCAATGGATGTCCTTTAATCAATTAAGGGGAAGTTACTTCGGGATTGCCCATAAGCAAGAATTTTTTTTCCCCCTGTGACACCATTCTTCTAAAATGGCTTGTGGATGCCCATCATTCAAGCAGCAGAGCTTTAGAGCATGTAACTTCATAAATGTAATGTAAGTGCTGGGTATAGTTTGTAGGTAAGATTTTTAGTAGACAAATTTACATTCATTGGCAATTAATAAGAAATTTATGTTACCCACGTGCCCCAAGGCACCTGTCCTATAAAGGTTTGGTAAGACTGGACCCGAATCCAACTCCAGTGCTCTGGAATAAGCATTCTCCTTCCCACCCTCATGCTTCTCTCCCTACAACTCCTCCCCAGTCCCCTGTTCTCAAGCTTATTGCTTTGGTTTCACCCCATGCAAAACGTGGTACAAAATCTCTCATTGAGTTCCATAAAAATATATTTTTTCGAGGCTTCGGTGAGCTTTAACAACTTTATTGAAGATTTGGGAGGGTTGCAAGAAAGAATCACCTTGCAGGGTATGCAGTATCCCACTATGTCCCTTCTCTCTTTTCATCTCCCCTTCTGGATACAGTCATCATCTCTTGTCTAAGGTGGAATAGCTTTACCCAATTTAAGGCAACGTGGGACTGGGGTCTCACTTTCTATCCTCAGGAATTGTTCCTAAATGAACACAGCTTTTTTTCTTAAGAGGAATTAAGGTCAATATAAATTTCTTCCTCTTGTTGCATATTATTTTAGGCTCTTGCTTTTGGGTAGTTGTGGCAAGTGATAATCTGCATCTTTTATAAAATGAGAGGACTTATTGATACACCTTCTAACACCCTCTGGGAATTTCCAGAGGCTGTTGGAAGGATTGGGTATTGATGGGGCATGGCACATTGTGGGAAGTAACAAATTCAGATATAAGTATGGCATTAATTTTCTCAAACAAATTATTCAACAAATATGTTCTGAGTGCTGTCAGTCTTCATAGAATTTAAAGGAAGCCCCCTCTGAATCACACATAGTTACAGATTTGGCTGATGTGCCTTCATTGGCTCATTTGGCTAAAACTTCTCTTATAGCAGCCACTTAGAGGACAGTTACCTATTTTGGGTGTTAGGAATCAACTGCTTCCATAGGGAGCAGAAGTGTCAGCTGAGACGAGATTCGAAAGAGGAAAAGCAGAGAGCATCAGACACACTCAAGCCTCCAGTCCTCACTTGGCCTTCATTCAAATCTATAAAGCAGTATTCGGGTAGCAAATCACGTATTTAAATAGAGTTAGATTAGCAACATTGAAGGGAGAATGAGTTTACTGTTATCTGGCCTTGGAATTACCCTAATAAACTAGTGGTATCTAACAGAAGAACATTCCAACTCCTCAGTCTATGACTCTGTTATAGAGGAATTCTCTCTCGTTACACACACCCCCACAGGAGTGGGTGTACATGCATACCCTGACATCTTAATTATATGTTTGTTATGGGGGGAAAAAAGGCTACTCAATGAACACTTAATTAGCAATCATATTCCTGGTATCCGTGTGAATGTCAACTGTGAAATAAGAGCCAAACACATATCCTCAAGCTAAGAACATTTATTTACTTTCTGCCACCCAAGGAATTCAGATTCAACAAAGTAGCTCCCAAGGCACCTACGCCTAATGAGCAAACTTCTCATTATTCTCCCTTCCCTAGTCCTCATTTTTTCTTCCATGGCCTGATGCTGGGAGGTAATGGAGCCAATAGCCACCCAGCCAGAACTACCTCTTATTGAATGCCTACTATTATGCTAAGGGATATTCTAGGTGCCTTTCACACATGCTCTTTCTTCTCAGAAACACCCTCCGAGGTAGTAATTGTCACCACGTTTTGAAAGTTGGAAAGGCTGAGACTCAGGAACATTGTATGCGTAGCCCTAGGTGACACAAGTAGTAAAGCGGGTAAAACAGATCACCTTAAGCCCCTTTGACTCCGCGGCCAGGCTTGTTGCCATATGCCAGCCTAACCCCATGCAGACACCGGGATAAATGACTGTTTCCAGTAGGGTTCTGAGGGAACCGCTCTGGAGATGGAAGCTATGGCAATTCTTATATGAAAGTAGGACAGTCTCATGGGATCCCTTTGCTTGTCTCTATTGCTCTCTGACACTACCTGAGGAGAGGTATCACCCTCACCATTCTGGGCACCTCTCTGTTGTACGGCTACCCAGTGATGGAGGCATGGTGTACCTTCTTCCTTCATGACACTTTATGCTTCAGACAGTCTTACCCGATTTCCTTGAGAAAGGTCAAGTCCAGACACTCAGCTGCCATTTTCACACTCCGAATTATGTGCTTAGACTGTGTTACAACACACAACAGTGCATGCCAGGTCTTACGAAACCATATTCAAGTTTTACACCCATAAAAATCCAGGCTGTTCACAATCCTGCATTTGTAATACGCACAATTGTTTTCCCTTTCCCCTTGGATGAAGTATAAATTTCTTTCCTCGCTTGTGAGAGTCTCCTGACCTGTATCTCTCTTATTTTGCTCCCCTCCCCTTCGCCACTCAACCTTCAACCACAGAATTTTTTTTTAAATTCCTTGTTAGCATCACATATACTGGCACTCTCTTTAAGCCTTTTTGCACATGCTGTTGGTCAGCTCAGAAAATTGTTTGTCTCCATGCCCCAAAGTCTTTTCTCCCACACAATCCCATTGACCTCCTCAGACGTCAAATTTTAGCTTAAGTAGCTTTTCTTCTACATGGTCTTACTTTATCCTCTGACCTAATTCAGAGCGCCTCTGCCTGTTCCCATAGGCAGCTTATACTTTTCTCAGTTTTATACTCCTCTTTCTCTTTTGCACATGTTTGTTAGGCTTTCTGTTTTCCATAACTGGTAATCTCTGTAGGCTAGGACCACAAGTATATCATTAGTGCACTGTCTGACACTTACTAGGCACTCAATTAATATTTGTTGATTTCATAAACTATATAAGGTTTAGGAGTCATCAGCATTTACATCACCCCTGGGAATTTTGAGAAATGGGTTGGTTAAAGACTGCTTTTGATGGAAAGTAATTTTCCAGTGAAGAGATTTCCACTTGTATTCTTATAAATAGATACAGGCAAAGTGCAATTTGAGATTTGCTAGAAGGGCTCCATGGTCCTAAGTAAGGCCCACACATTTGCTCCCATTTGGTGACATTTTAGTAGGGGCTATTTTTCTTAAAGATTATTTCTAACCATGTCCCCTGGCTGTAAACAAGGGTCTGTTGATCAAGATCACCATACTGGGGCCGGAAATGTAGAAAGGGAGATGGCAGGTTTCCCAGGGACATCCCCTGCGCTCTAGCACTTCACCTGAATTTCAGGCACAGCGGGAGAAGTTTGGGACCAACTTCTCTCTGGTGAAGGAGGAGCAAAGTTCTGAGTGACTGTTTTCCTTCAGGCGTGCCACTATAAATTAGTGACAAGATAAATCCTTAAGATGTTGTTACTTAGTTATTAAAACTATCTTACATTTTTAAGGTTTTAGATTTTCCCTGGTTTGCTATAACTTACTTTTCTTTTATAAGAATTCTTAATTAAAATCTTGCTTCATCCCCTGGGAAATATATTTTGGATTTTATTTATACCCCAGATTATAAAGTAAATGTATATTATATAACCCATTTAAAATTAGTGAAGTTCTGAAATGTTTCTGTTCAGAGAGCATTTACTCATCTCAGCGGTGTATTTTCTTACTTTATCCAGTAGCGTGTGTGGACTATTAAAATACATCAAGGGGATGTATACATTATGCTGGTATACAACTTGGGAGGCATTGCCTAAACAATTTAGGCTTTAAGTAACAAAGCACAGTTTAATATTAGTTACAGAGAATCGATTTAAAAATTTTTCTTTTTTTTGAAGATTTTATTTATTTATTTGATAGAGACACAGCGAGAGAGGGAACACAAGCAGGGGGAGTGGGAGAGGGAGAAGCAGGCTTCCCACGGAGCAGGGAGCCCAGTGCAATGCGGGGCTTGATCCCAGGACTCTGGGATCAAGACCTGAGCCGAAGGCAGGTGCTTAATGACTGAGCCACCCAGGCTCCCTAAAAAATTTTCTTTTTAAGTGAACCCAACATGAAAAGTTGATCATCCTTCCACCTACT